GGACTGGATGATTTGACAAAATATCAGAGGAAATGCTTTTAGCCCTGTTTCTGTTAAAGTTGTGGCTTCCTTCTGAAATCTTTTCAGTTGGGGCTTTAGACTCCAGTTTATTCTTGACACTACTGTCTTCCAGGCTTCTACTACAATGGGCTATTAACCTCTCCTTAGCCCCAAATTCCAACATCTTCTATATTCCTCCAAGAATAATATGGTCAGTTTCTTTACAGTAACACCTCACTCTCAGTATAAACATTTCTGTCGCTGTGATAAAATACTATAATCAAGCAACTTAGAGAAGGGAGAGTTGTTTTTGCTTATGCTTGCAGAGGGATAAAAGTCCACACGGTGGGGAAGCCTGGCAATAGACAGGCTTGGCAAAAGGAGCATGAAGATAAGAAGTTGAGAGATAACACATTTTACTGCTAAGACTAAAGAGGAGAGAGTAAACTAGATCCAGGGCAAGGCTGTGAAGTCTCAAAGCCTGCTCTCAATGGCATGCTCCTCCTGCAAGGCACACCTTGTAAACCTCAAGTAGCAACATCAACTAGGGACCAAATATTCAAATACTGGTTCTATGGGACAATTTCTCGTTTAAGCCACCACAGATGTTGAACACTTTTAAACATGGCTTAAAATCAGTATTTTGATATTTGAGGATTTTCATAAAATGTAGTTTGAACATATCTCCCTCCACCCCCAACTCCTCCACTTGTCACCCTCTCTTCTCACCCATCCCTTTCCACACAATTTGAGATTTTTATTTATTTGACCCCCCTCCCCCATTGAGTCCAGTTTGGTGACCCAGAGAGCAAGAATATCAAGAGTGCTCCATTTGTATACTCAGAGGCAACAGAGGCCAGAGGTAAGGAACCTTATAAGGTCATAGGAAGTCCAGCCATGTGGTCAGATAAGCACAACCAGTCCCTGTAGCCTTGGAGATGCATGAGCTTGCTGTGTGCTTTGGGGCTCATCTGTACTCAGGGTAGCCTCACTGCTGGGGTCTGCTGCCCTCTGAGCAAAGTGGGGGAGCAGCCAAGTTCCTGCCACTCTGAGGATGAAAATCTCCAGGGTTTTTAGGAATGTTAAACTCCTTCTTATTTCATACTAGCCCCACAGCTCCCCCTCTATTTTTATAAGGGGGGTATCATCATAATCAGCCTCCATTTGCAGGAGGGTCTGGTATCGGACTAGGGCCTGATTAGTGGCAATCCTGGTGATGTTGCTTATGTGTCATTGTAGGAATTGAATAAGACAGGGCTAGAACAAGAAGGATCCCAATAGCTAGGATGGATCCAAAAGGGAGAAGGATCCAAGTGGTTAGGGGATTTGAATACCAAGATGTGGGGGTATCAGGGTTGTAGCCGGCCTGCAGGTGCTGCTGGGAGTTTTTGTATATTTGTTCCACGAGGCCAAACTCATTAACATAAAAGCAACATTCTCCCCACAGGACAATATATTACCCATTGTTCAGAATGTAAGTGAGTCTGAGTGTTACAGTTCTGGAGCTGATTTACCGGGAAGCCAGGCTATACCTAGAGCTGCAATAGGACAGCTCTGGAGACTGGAGCTGCAATAGGACAGCTCAGCCCTGGAGGGAAAGGTGTCCTGACTTGTCAGGAAGCCAGGCTAATTGAAGCTGGGTTGCGTTGGGGGATGGTTTCCCCGCAGGCTAAAGCAATCCTACTCCTCTCCTAGAGAAAGCAGTTATCGCTGAGCTCTGCTCTGTTCCTCTAAGGCAATGTCCTAGCAGAGCTATGTGCTGCTTCTGCCAGAGATGTTACTTCCGCTAGACTCTGCTAAAATAGAAGCCCCTGCAGAAATGTAGCAATCTTCTCTGGCTCCTGGGAAAGGTGTTACTTTTTCTGCTGCCTTGCTCAACAACCCCCAGCCCCCAAGGGAATGCCTCAGCAAGGTTTTTCTATTCCATGCTGGTGAATGAAGATCTTCACCAAAAAGATTTGGGAAGGAGGAGTCCAAGAGAGTGGCTGTCTCTGCCAGGGTGGGAAAGGACATCCAGCAACCAAACAAGCAGAGGGACTTTTAGGCTTCTTAGTTTTCCCAGGGAGCAGTTTTTCTGCTCAGGGATTAGTTAGTTTTCCTGCTCAGGTATTGGATAGTTTAGTTGATCAGGGACAGAGTTGGCTCTGGTTTCAGATCCTGGGTGTTTCTTTCACTGGCTCTGGATTCAGAGGGTTTCTTTGGCTGGTCCTTTTACCCTATACAGAAGTTATTAAAACTAGGGTCATTTTGTTTTGTTGTACAACTCCTGCTAATGAGGTTATCTGTTTGAAGAGACTCAAGGCTGTTGTGGCTGTAGCTTATAGCCAGGGAAGTTTCTTAAATTCATACAGGTAGTCTGTAGGAGAATCATTACAGGGTTATAAAAACCTGTAAAGGATGAGTTAATGCAAGGGCTATGGTTTCTTGACATCATAGAATGATAGGGGAGCTAGCACAGATTGTTTTAGTAACTGTGATGTTGGAAGAGCACATGGGATCTGATTTAGAAGAGCGCTCCATAAGGCAGAAGGGGTGGGAGGAACTAAAAGGGAGGGATGATGGAGCTTTTATAGAAAGGGCGGTTTTGAATTATCTTGTAAGGAAATGTTAAGAGGAACAGCTATTAGAAATGGCTGAGAGTGAAGAGCAGATGTTACAGGCAGCTGCTCCTCTCAGGCCAATTCATAAGCACTGGGGCAGAAGCTAATCCAGCTGCATTGGCCAAACCCCCGACACTGCAGGCCAGCTGTAGGTCACAGCCACTGGAGTGCATTTGCTCCTAACTGGTTCCTGTGTTTCCACAGGCTGAGCCTGAGCTGCTGGCTTCTCTTGTACTTGGATCTCTCAGTACCAGTTCCCCTCCTGTGATTGCTCCCTCTGCTGGCCACACCAAGACTGGACAATAGCTAGATCCCCTGGGACTTGACCATTATCTCAGTTTCCTCAGAGTCTCCTAAAGATTCCAACACCCCAAGGTTGCCCACATTCCAAAGAGGTGGATGGCTGGTTTTGGGTTGTTCAATGGATTATAGATGTTTCTCATTGTTTAAGGGGGTTGGTTGCAAGTTGTTACTGATCATGATCAAGAAAGTGTATTCAAAGGAGGTTAGATTCGGGGATCTTTCTGAAAAGAAAAAGGGGGGAATACAGGAATGACAGGGAAAAGGATAGATTGCTGAATCTACTTTAATCCTAAAAATAACTATTAATCTCAAAAGTTTACATTGGTATGGATTTTTATATATTGATACAAATTTTAAAGTTATTTTTGTTATACTGTATATGTTTCTACTGTTAAGATATTTTTGTACACTGATACAAATTTAAGGTTATTTTTGTTATACATGTTTTTATTTTTAAGATAGTCTATCTATGCAGCTAGTTTGGTTATGTAATGTAAACTTTTAGTCCTTGAAAGCTATTTAAAATAAGAAATACAAGTTAATAGTCACCCATAATTATCAGATTTACAGTCATGTTGGTATGTTTTCAAGGTCATACAGAGACATATTTTAGATAGGTGACCTTTAAACACTTCAAAGACTATAGAATATTCATTTAAAATGTTTTACTAGCATAAGGCTTTTCTTGACAATGAGACACATCTGCTCCTGGCAGCAACCAGCACTGATCTACTTCAAAAAAGGATGATGGGCAAAAGCTAGCCATTTGGGAAAGAAACTGCCCTTGCCTCGACTGCTAACAATGATGTCCAAACTGGACATGCAGGACACAAAGAAAAGCAACTGACTGCACAACTTTGCCAAGACAGGGTAAGACTTCTGCAACCCTAAGAATTTGTAAACAAAGAGCAAAAAAGAAAAAGATGGCTAGATTACTCTATTTTAGTAGTAGATCCCTTGCTTAGTATGTGTGAGGGCCCCTGAACTCAAATCTCAGTACCCTGCCCCCAGTAGGGTGGAGACAATGGTGCTACACACCAAGAACAAATTATCTGAAGTAGGAATTTATAAAGCAATTTTTATTTACAATAGCTGCAAACAAGACTAGTGTCTGGTCCAGAAGAAACCTCATTTTCCCAAATTCCAAAAGGCAGTCCAAATATTTAGAAATGGACTCCACCTGGACCATAGGATTTCTGGAGGTTGGATAAAAGCCAGCATTCCTCAGGAATATGTAAAACTGGTTCCCCTCTACTAGAAGGATTTCCCTATCACTGGAAGAAGGGATAAATGGCCGTCTGTGGTGCCTATTGGTGCAGGTCTCTAGGGCTCCCTCAGTATCACAAGTACCTGTCACACACTTCAGAGTCTATGCTGCTGTCCTAGCTCCTCCCCTCGCCCTATCACACCGACTTCCAATGCTCTTGTAAATCATCGATCTAACTCTTTGATCGTAGGATTTGTGTGTATGGAAAACGTGTCTGCTCCTCAGTCAGTTTGATTTCAAAGATTTGTATACAAGTCAGTTTTTACACTGTATTTATTAAGGTTGAAGGGTTTCTACAATTAACTTATTTTTACCATAGGGGGGGAAAATGTTTTATACACTCCATATATTAACTTAAAAGGGATATTTATATAAAGATCCTAAAATGGAAATTGAAAAATGTTTAAGATGTGTTCATTATGTATAGTGTTCTGCCTGCATGTATGCCTGCAGGCCAGAAGAGGGCACTGGATCTCATTACAGATGGTTGTGAGCCACCATATGATTGCTGGGAATTGAATTAAGGACCTCTGGGAGAGCAGCCAGTGTTCTTAACCTCTGAGTCAATTCTCCATCCTGGAAATGTATTCATAAACCTTACTTGGCAAGTCTCTTTAAAACCAAGAACAATAGGTCAATGAGACAGTTTGGTAGGTAAAAGTCTAATGGCTTGAGTTCAATTCCTGGATCTCAGTGCAGAACAGGTCTCAAAGAATTACTCCATACACGTGTAGTGACATACGTGCACCCATACCCCTACACACAAACCATAAACACAGTAATAAAAATTAAGCTGAAACACATAATGTTCCAAAAAACAAAGCAAAAGGTTTCCACAAAATGCTTTATTTCTCTAATAGCTATTTCTTATAAATAACTTTGGCAACATTAACAAAATAATAACTTTTATTTGAAAGAGAAGCAACAGACTTCACAGAGTAACAAAATAGTAATCCTGACAGGTATTTTGTACATGTGTAAACAAAACAAAGTGACATTGCTTTAAAAATACAGAGCTATCAATATAAAACAGAAAGCTTCTGAAGACTCAGTTAACTATGTGTTATAGGCACAGAAATGGACTTAAGCTAGCTCACTTCTAAGACAGAACCAAAGCTCTTGCTGATGATATTTCTTCCTGAAGTTCTGTGACTAGGAAACTTTGCTAGATTGCAGAGGGAAGAAGAGAGGCGCAGCGAGAGGTACTCTGCCCTCAGGGAGAAGAGATGAATAGGACTTCAAAAGCTGGGGCAATTTCTAGTCACTCTAAAATACCCTGACAAGCTTGATAAACCACGTCTGAGGTAGCCAGCCATGCAGGCTTGGGGGGGGGGAGAGAACCGTGAGGAAGGGAGCAGCCTGTGCAGCCTTGGCATCAGGAGGAACAAGGCTGATACAATAGGTCAGAATAGTGCAGTGGGGGTGGCGGGGAAGGTTGGGAAGCAGTGGGGAGATGGGCTGGGAAGCGGCAGCAGATGGTAGCCATAGGTAGGCAGGAGCCAGACCCCTGGGGCCTCCCTTGGCAGTAAACAACAATCTCTACTCCTTAGGAGCATGCTTTAGTGGAACAGCAAACTACAGCAATGGTGCTGGTGACACTGAGATCTTGCTAAACACAGGCCTAAGGTGGTTCTTATTTTTACCATAGACAGTACACAAATCTGCAGATTCATTCACACACAGTAGGACAAACAACACTTACCACGTCTAAAGGCAAGGTACAGGGGTAAAAAGTTAGTGTGCCTTGGCTCAACGAAACTCATTGCAAAGGCCTATCAAAACAGTAAAGATGCAGCTCACAATCGATCAATGGATCAAGCACAGAACAAATAAAAACAACAAATGATACTGGCCACTTCTCAGCTCCCTCAGTCTTAACAGAGATGCCAAAGCCTGGTGATGACCTCATCCCAGGAAACTTCACTAGACCAAGGGAGGAAAAGTGGAATAGAGACATCTAAGGGACACATCCCTGCTGCCCCTTTCTTCTTTCTTCTCTTCAGTTATAAGGGACAGGATCTTGCTGTGTAGTTAGTTTGTCCAGGAACTGCTCAACAGACCAGGCTGACCCTGAGCTCCAGATCCTTCTGCTCCAGGCTCCCAGGAGCAGTTATTACCAGTGTGTGCTACCACATCCAGCAAGATAAGGTACCTTTAAACAAAGGGAAACACAGGAGATTTCTCCAGACCCGTGTTTATAACCAGCATGCATCCAGACTCCTTGACTGATGAAAAGCAGAAGCTGGGCACCTGGGCTAGACATGGAGGAACAGTAGGTGGCGCTAGACCAGGCTCAAACAGACAGCTCTGGAAACTACTAATGCTACTGAAGTTGCTGAGGCCCAATCCTCAGAGGGCGCCCTACAGTTCGACAAAGAGTTGTTCCTCCTAGTAACTAACCAGCTAAGTAGTATGCTATATTAGATGGGGGAAAGCAAATCTTCATTTAGGACATATCTTGCACAAAAAGTGCTTCAAGTAAGATCCAAGCAATATTAGTGTCATCAACTGGGAGATTATACATACAACAAAGGGAAAGCTATTCATTATAATTACTCGAATATGAGGCAAGACACAAATTGTGACTAGGGATCTAGTTCAGTGCAGAGCCCTTGCCTGACACATGTAAGGCCCTGGGTTTAATCCCTAGCACCAACTGGGGATAAGTTTAAAAAAAAAAAAAAAAAAGCACCACATCACCAAACTTCAAGCTTCACATATTCAATAACTGTAACTTACACACACTATGAAAAATGTAGTGAAAAAGTTCCATGGTGGGTGTAAATTCTAGTCACCCTGGGTTATTTTTTTTCCTTTTTTCTTTTTTTTTTTTTTTTTTGTTGTTGTTTGTTTGTTTGTTTGTGCTATGTCTAATACCATTGGGCAAGTCCCTATTACAGCTTAAAAGTAGAAACTGAATTCAGCCCAGGCCATAAACTGGACAGATGCCATTTTTTCTGACCCTTTTCAATGAACAACTAAGGTTCAATACACTTCAAGCTACAAATGCCAAGGGTTCTTCCCCAGGAAAAGACAGCACACTTTACTGCTGTGACCCATTAGAGTATGGCCAGTTCATTCTTCAAACACAGTGAGCCAAAACCGGGGAGGAGTGCATGAATCCAAACTCCCTAAATATTAGGGGATAGGGAGTTCATGGACACCGGTTCCCAGTCTACTAATTACTGTTGCTGCCTCACATGGCACTAAGGATACACAGCTGTGCTTTTCTTGTCTGTAGGGGCCTTTCACAAAACTAGGGAATTTTACAAGAAGGGCTTGGCCTACTTGGATCTTCTTTTGGGTAAAGACATCAGGCAGTATTCATTCTTTGGCTCCAAGACTGGAATGAATGTGTGCCTGTCTACTTATCCGCACTAAACTATTTAAAAAAGACAGCTCTCTCCATCCTGTAGCAAATGTTAACTACCAATAGATCTTCACGGAGAAGCAGGGCCTTGTGAGCCCCACCAAATCCCAGACTTTCATGTAGAAGATCTCTCAAGCCTAGGTGTCACATGAAATACTAATAAATAGGTTTCACCTCTGTTTTCCATTCACAAGGATACAGGCCCAAAGACCTTGCTTGTGTTGATCCAAACAGTATGAAAACAGATATATTTTAAATAACACTCACTATTCATTCAGAAAATACTGTAGGTCAGAGAATGGGGTGGTAGAGAACTTGCTTATTACTTGTGAGGCCTTGGATCCAGCCCCCATCACTAACACAGAACTAAACAAACCCTCACAAAATAAAAACAAACAAAAACCCTGCATTATCACAAAATTAAAAAAAAAAAAAAACAAACCAGTCCACCTACAAGTAAGTTCATCATCTTGGTTCCTAATGAATAGCAAGTGTATAGTTTGTCCTCTTATCTCTATTGAAGATAAGAATTTGGGGTGCTCACTTAGGTTAGAATTAGTGGGACCTTTTTGAAGGTCTGCCTTGAGATTTGGGGGAAGATGGTTCCCAGTCAGTTGTGCTCACAGTGATTGATGCTACCTTCACAGATTCCGACTCAACAGGCTCCGCTGATACCTGAATAACAACCTTCGTATCAGGAGGCAACCCTTCCAGCTGTTTAGGTTTCTTAAACATTTGGTGGCACCGGGTTTTATGCTCCATTTTTTCCTTGAAGGTTAAGAACTGTAGCCGACATTTAGAACACTGGTGACCATTCCTTTCCCAGTGGCTCCTATAATGACACATGTATGGAGTTCCAGTTTTGAAAATTTTAAGACAAAACGGACAGAGTAGGTTCTTAGTGTTTACATGGCACTTTCTAAAATGTGTTTCCATGTCAGCAAAGATGGATGACCTGTACTTACAGACCTGGCACACATAGGGCAGTTCCCCAGGCTTGTGATTATCCTTCATGTGCTGTAAAAGAACTTGATCTGTTTCAAATGACAAGTCACAGATTTTGCAGACCGTAGCCGGGTTGGGGGCGGTGTGTACGCGGTCAACATGACACTCCAGGTGGAAGGGTGAGGTAAACTGCCGGTGGCAATGCTGGCAAGTGGTGTGATTCTCCCAGCCGTCGTTCCCTTGCCTCTCAAGTTCCACATGGTGTTTGGTGTGGTTCATAAATTTGACATTTTTTAGAGCTTTCAAACAGTAGGGGCATTTGAAGGTCGTGTGAGTCTTCTGTTCTGGCTGCCCGTCTCCTTTATGCTGTCCATAATAAAAGTCGCTAAGTAGCAAAGTCAAACTTCCTTTCTTGGGATCAAAGGTCTCTTGACTTGCTAGACTTGAAAAGCCCACTTGTGCCAATCCATTTTCCTGTTGAGGGCATACATTTGTAGGACTGGCATGGACAGAGTGCTCTCCGTTCACAACATGGTTTAAGGGCATGGGAACATGACTGGCAGGTGTACTCGGCTGAGGATTCGAGGTAAGGAAAGTGCCTGAAGGGGACGATGCTGAAGAATGGTCATCTATAATTTCAATAAGCTCAGGCCTCTGTGGATTTACGACATTCACTCCAGAAGTAGAATGGCACTTCGATACGTAAGAACTCTCATTCATATCTCTTACTGAAAGTGCTGCCCTTGTGGGACTGTGCTTCGAACTTGAGAACGTAACCAAAGGGGAGCTCTCAGGAGAGCTATCAGGCACAATTTGTGGTGAATTACTTCTATAGTCGGGTTCGGACAAAGGCTCAATAATAATAGGACTATCTGTTGACCTTGACTCAGCTGGAGATGCCGGCAAGACAATCACTGTGTCCGAGCTGGGGGCTGCGGGAACCGAGGGCTGTGGTCTTTGAGTAGCAGTTGTTCTAAGGCGATTTCGCTTCCTTTTCAACCGTGAACCTGGAGTGACTCTGTTCAAAATGTTTGAGTTAGTAGGTTTTGAATTTGAACTCACGCCAACGAATATCAGTTCAGAATCTTCTTTTACATGCTCAACCCCTACAAAGATCAGCTCAGCATCCTCATCGTGGCCTTGGCTGGGTTCCTGCCCTTCACCACACAGCATGAAGGACCGCTCCATTTTAACGTTTTGGTTCCTGACAGGTGTGGTCACAGGGTCCAGTGCTTTCTCTATACACAGTGTCACCTGAGTACAAACACATTACACATCAGTAAGCACAGAAAAAGGACTTCTTTTTCTCATCAAAGACTTTGAGGTGGCTATAAACATTTAGGACACTGTTACCCTTCTACCCCAACCTTTCAGGCCCAAACCTGGGCAGGAGGTGTACCACCCATGGGCGCTGTTGCCTAGGAATCTCAACCAGCCACCTATCTCTAAGCAGCTACCAGACCCAAGCAGTAGCCCCATCTGCGCAGTCTCTTGGGTGAGTCCTCTCACCCCTAGTTGCCTCCTCTCACAGCCCCCACCCTCCAGACATAGGTTCAGCAAAGAGCCAAATCCGCCCTTTCTCTTAGTGAGTCTGCCCCAGGGCCTTTACCACATGCCACTAAGTCCAGGTGGGGCCTCATCTGCAAGCTATCTTAGCCCAGGCCCACTATGTGCTCTTTGAGGTTGAGCCAGTTACTGAACCTGCGCTGCCCTCCAGGCCCAGGCCCAGCCAGGAATCTCACACACCAGAGGACTTTCCTGGACTTCATGCCCCAAACAATCTTACCCTACCCTTAGATCTCTACATCACACTGCATTACACCAGTCTCTCCAGGCAACAATCAACACTGGGTATCCCAACTAACCTGCTCACTCCAAACTTGTCTTGAAATCCACAAAGCTCAGATAAAAGCAAAAACAGAATCAAACTTCTACTCCACACACGAAGTCTAGAATCTCACATCAAACACACAATAAAGAAATAAATTCCCAGGGCTGCAGAGATGGCTCAGAGGTTAAGAGCACTGTCTGCTCTTTCAGAGTTCCTGAGTTCAATTCCCAGCACCTACATGGTGGCTCACACTCATCTATCATCTACAGTGAGATCCAGTGCCACCTTCTGGCATACATGCAGAACACTGTATACTTAATAAATAAGTCTAGGAAGGAAGGAAGTGTAAGGAGTATGGTTTTTCCTCCCGCTGCCAGTCTGGTCCCGCCGCCGCACCAGCCCCAATTAACACACTGAGACTCTGTATTAGATATAATTCTGTTGGCCCGGTACTAGTTTCATATCAGCTAGCTCTGTCTTAAGTATTAACCCATTTCTGCTGATCTATGTATTTCTCTTACCGGGGAACCAGCCAGCATACTGTTTTCTCCAGACTCTCCATCCTGACCCCTTACTACTTCCTCTTTCCTCTTTGTCTCCTAGTCCCACCTATCTTGCTTTCCTATTGGCCAACAGTGCTTTATTCATTAAACTAGTATGAATAACATATACAGAATGACATCTCCCATCACCTCCTCTTTTCTGTCTAAATAAAAAGAAGGGTTTTAACCTTAACATAGCGAAATATATCACATAACAGTTATCAAATAAGAATCACAGTTAACACTATTTAGTCCATTAACATTTAGGAAGATTTAAGAAACTATTTTATCATCTATCATATATTTGAGTCTAAAGTCCTATATGTAACTTATCTTTAATCTTAACTAAGGAAAACTATAACCATAACTATTTGTCTTCAGCACTGACCACGCCCATTGGGGGTGGAGCCATGGGCGGAAGTGACCTGTGGAAGGAGGTCGGAGGAAGAGCCCGGAAAAGCTCTCTTCTTGGCGTGACTCGGACAGGAGAGCATCGAGTGGAATTTCCTGGTGTTCATCTGTCTAGGTTGTAAGTTATTTCTCCCTGAATAAACATCTATTCGGCCTATTTGTTTATCCTGATCCTTATTTAACCACGATAAGGAAGGAAGGAAGAAGTCCCACTTTCAAGCCCTGTTACAAAATAAACAGTATGGCTGGGTGTTGGTGGCATATGCCTTTAACCCTAGCACTCGGGAGGCAGAGAGGTAAGTAAATCTCTGTGAGTTGGAGGCCAGTCTGATCTACAGAGAGAGTTCCAGGACAGGTTGCAAAGCAATACAGAAAAACCCTGTCTCAAAAAGACAAAAAACAAAACAACAATAACAAAAACAGAAAACAAAAAGACAACATAGACCTCTTAAAAGCTACCAGTTCTGTAAGAAATGTCCCAAAAGGAACTGTCAAGACTAAACTCGGGACACAGAATTTAAAAGAATAATTATAAACAAAGAATTTGACAAATCCAAAGAGGCCACTGTTATGAGCCATTTCGAGCACTTTCCTGCCAGCCTGGAACCACAGCCACATTAGCCCCAAAATAACACACAAAGTTATAAAGCTGTTGACCAATGGCTAGATCTTCTTATTGGCTAGCTCTATCTTAAGTATTAACTCATTTCTATCAAGCTAAGTGTTTCCACGTGGTCTTACCGGAGAGAGGGTCCAGACCTCTTGTCTCACGTCCTACATCTTGACTCCTCTCTACTACATCTTAGAGAGTCCTCCTTGTCTCCAAGTCCCACCTATCTTGCTTTTCTATTGGTCAACAGGGCTTTATTCATTAACCAATAAGAGAAGCATATATAAAGAATGACATTTCCCATCAGGCCACAAGCAAACACCTCAATGAACTTCAAGAAGACAGAAATAAGAAAACCCCTTGGATACCCTAAGAGTTTCTCCAGGTCCTATTTCCCAAGTGTGTGGTGGTATTATACTTTGCTTTCTGTTGCTGTGACAGACACCATGACTAAGATCAACTTGAGGAAGGAAGAGGTTTGTTTCCTCTTACATCTCCCAGGTCATAATCTATCTGATTTGTAAAACCGGGATTATGTTCCAATAGTTCTGCATTTTTTCTACAGACTTAATTTGAAGAGCTCTGTCTAAATCAGGAAATCTGGAGGCTAAGAAATGATTTGCAGCAGCTGTCATTTAATACCTTCAACAAAACAGATATTAAAGCAAGTTATATGAAGCCTTAGTATACACAAGCACACAAACAATGGTTACAAAAGGCATGGGTAAACATTTGTAATTCTAGCACTCAAGGCAATTATGAGGTCAAGGCTAGCAAAGTAAGATCTGCCACAATAAAATAAAAAGCAACAAATTTTTTTTTAAAAAGCTGCTCAATGGCCAAGCTTAGTGGCACATACCTTTGATCCTAGCACTCAAGAGGTAGAGACAGGAAAATCTCTTTGAGTTTGAGGCCAGCCTGGTCTACAGAGTCTACATAGTTAATTCCAGGACAGCCAGAGCTACGTAATGAGACCCTCTTGTGAGAGGGAAAAATAAAAGCTTTCAATAAATTACTACTACTACTCCTCTTTAAAACTGCCACAAAGCAATGCAAAATGCAAGCATAAACCAGCAATTTCTGAAGATCTCAAAAAAAAAAAAAAAAATTAACCCAGTGTGTACCCTTCAAACCAACATTATCTTTTATTCAATTACATTTTTATTTATTTACTTGTGTGGGTGTACATGTGGAGGTCAGAGAAAAACTTGCGGGGAACTTCCTTCTACCATAAGGGCTCTGGAAATTGAACTCAGATTGTCACACTTGGCACCAGTGTGTATCTTTACCCACTGAACCATCTCACCAGGCCCAGCATAACCTATAAATAATCTATAAAAATTAAAGTAGCATCTAATATGTATCATGCATGACATATTATTTTAACTTGATTATTAATATCTAATTTGTTACATATCATTTATTCCTATAAACACCTAGGAAGTCAATTAAAAATATATCCTATTAAGAGTAATAAAAATTATCTGCTCTTTTCCTCATTACTACTTATTTCCTTATTACTATTTTCCCAAGCTGGTAAAATACATATAAAGCACTAAGAAAACAGTGAAGGCATGAAACTTGCAGTCTGTTGTGTGATACATAGTATGACTTACAACTAAAATTTAAGATCAGTTACACACACACACACACACACACACACACAAATGCTTCCTGACATGACAATAATGAACTAAACCTCTAAACTGTAAGCCACCCCCAATTAAATGCTTTTCTTTATAAAAGTTGTTGTGGTCATGGTGTTGCTTCACAACAACAGTAAGCCTAAGACTGCAAACAAATACAAATCTAAATCAGAATGATCACATTCTCCCTGGTGTAACAAATATCAGAAAATAATTTGAGAACTAATATGGCTATTAGGCTTCGGCAAGAACAAATTTTGTAGCACCCCAAAATTTATTATATTGAGGGTTTTCACAGAGCCCTAAAAAACATGATTCTTGAATTTGAGTTTAGATATGATTCTATTACATAAGAGGTCCTAATGATGCCACCAGAAAACTTATAGAAGTGATAAGCACTTCTAGCAAAGGTGCAGGATACAAAATTAACATTAAAAAAAAAATCAGTATGCTTCCCATATACCAATGACAAACATACTGAAAAAAAAGCCAAGTAAACAATTCCATTCATAATAGCCTCCAAATGAACAAAAACCCTAACTCTAAAGACCTCAACAATGAACGTTTTAAAACACCAAAGAAATTGCAGAAGACATTAGAACACAGATAGACCTCACATGAGTTCAATTCCCAGGAGTCACATAGTGGCTCAGGGCCATCTAGTGTGGAATCTGGTGCCCTCTGCTAGTATGCAGGCATACATTCCGGCACAACACTGTACACATAATATATATATATATATATATATATATATATATATAGAGAGAGAGAGAGAGAGAGATACAGATATAGATATATACATATTTTTTCTTTAAATAATATATATGTAGGTTCAGTTTAAACAGAGGCATCCTACTACATGGGGGGGGACAAATAATACTTCCTCTAGAAGACATGTTATTAAATAAAAATCCTCGTCCCTGTGTTCTTGATGTGAAAAGCTCCAGGGGCTCCCCAACAACACAGGCTACAGCCATGGCTTGATTGTTTGCCATAGCTAGATGGTAAGACCTACTGCTGAAGACACCCCAGAGTTTGGTAACAGGATACACAAAAACCATGCTCAAACTGACCTAGAATCCTCCTCTCTGATGGCTAGCTTTCAGCACTTGTAAGGTACTACACAGGCCACAGGACAAGTCATTCTTAGCTTTGCCTGCAAGCTACAGTACTAGACAGATGAGATGTGCCTACTTGCTCACTGATATAATGTTATGTTACACAGGCATCCCATTGGATGCCTATAGCCACAGCCCTTAGGAAGGGAAGTCTAAAATCAGGAGTTCAAGGTAATTCTCAGTCTAGGATATGTGAGATCCTTTCTCAAAAAAAAAAAAAAGAGGGTAGAGACTAAACCAATTCAACATTTTACTGCATTAACTGAATCTTTTGTTTTTCAAGACAGGGTTTCTCTGTATTGCTTTGGAGACTGTTCTGGAACTAGCTCTGTAGACCAGGCTGGCTTCAAACTCAGAGATCCGCCTGCCTCTGCCTCCTGAGTGCTGGGATTAAAGGTATGTGCCACTAACACCTGGCACATTAGCAGAATCTTAAGATACCTGCTTCAACTCACTTTTGCTTCCCACAGAGTCGCCCATAATGTTTACTTTCTTTTTCAAGATTTCAGGTGAAACCATCATATATCCCACTTCTTCCTGTTTGAGCAAGCAACTTAGAAGGTTGCAGAATTACTTACAATAATACATGGCCTGAATTTATCATACTCAGAATATTCTGAGTCTCTCAGGAAATTCTAAACAATTTATTTTGTTTGTTTTGGGTTTTTTGGGGGGAGGGCAGGATCTCATTATGCAGCCCTAGGCTGTCCTGATATTTTATTTGTTCTGTTTTGTTTTGTTTTTGGGGGGGAGGGGGCAGCAATGTAGCAATGGCTGTCCTGGAACTCACTCTGTAGACCAGGCTGACCAGGAATTCACAGATGATCCTCCTGTCTCTGCCTCCCAAATGCTGGGATTAAAGGCGTGGGCCATCATCACCGGATGGTAATTTTTATTTTATCAAAGGAGCGAACAGGAAACAGAAAACAAAGGAGAAAAGGACCCTTCTCTTACCTCAGGTATGCACTGTAACTTTTAATAACTTCTGGGAGTCCAAGAGGTGAGAGTCACATGCCTGAGGTAATCAGAGAGAAAAAAACAAAAACTCAAGATTTAGTTACATTTTATGTTAAACGATTTTATTCTATTTCACTACTTACTAGCTATTTAGATACTTTAGTTTTTCGTTTTGTTTGCTTTGATACAAAACACATTTGATCCTCACATCTCCACTTACCAAGTACTGGGTGAGGACCACCACAACCTCATTGTGAAGTACTGGGAATCGAGTGGCGGGCTTTGTCCACCCTGTGCGAGCACTCGATTTAACTAAGCTACCCAACCCCCAACTCTGTCATTTGGATGCTTATTACAAGCAACCATCCAATGTACCACACCTCTGTAAACAAACAAACAAAGCAAACAAACAAAAAAAACCCCAGCTCACTTGAGCCCTGTTCAAATTAAAATCAGCTACCTAGGAGAGAATCTATTAGGAGCTCTGAGAGCTACCCTGGAGTTCAAGAAGGCACGTAGTCAACAGAATACACAAACAAGATGGTGCTGTATGGTAAAGAGACAAATAAATGGATTTTAAAGTACTTTAAAAAGCCTCAAAGGGCCTGTGGATCTCCAAACTGCGAGTGGGACTCAATTTACAAAACTGGCTTACAGTTTTTGTTCACTGACTTGGCTCCCTAGTTTTTTGAACCCGTCTCAATATGTGGTCTTCCCACGGCCTCCCTAGGGGCCCGGATTACAGGCAGGCGCCGCCGCGCCCTGTGGCAGGATTTTAGGCACCCTAGGAGCCACAAGGGCCCACGTGTTGGGGAAGGCAGTTGGGGGGGGGGGCAGGCCCAGCCCTGGGATGGGGGGAGGGGAGAGATCGTAGGAGGGGGAGCGCACGTGTGTGCCCGGGGCTGCCAGGCGGGATCCCGGGAGGCCGGCCTACCCGCGCTTCCTTCCGCAGAGCACGCAGAAAGCCCTCACCCCGGGATCTGGCGACCGGCCCCTCCCGGCCGTCTCCCCCCCAGAGGTAAGCAGGGCCACACCCATGCCATTACCTCCCCCGCATACCTGAGCCTCCCGGATCGATCGCCTTGGCCCGCGAGGCGCTGCGCGGGGAGCCCCGCACCACAACCGGCCAGGCCCGCCGCTTCATCGGCAAAGCCCAGGCCGCCACACACTCGCCCACGGCGACCTGTGATTGGCTGCCAAGGGTGGACGCGAGGTCAAGCCGCTCGGCTCCAGGCGTAGCGCCGATCTGATTGGTCGCAAGGCCCCTGGGAACGCTCTCCCACTCTGGCACCCCTAGTGGCTACAGCGGGCGAAGGGGCCAAACTGAGACGGACAAGGCAGTGATGATACACGCCTGAGCTCTTGGCCCTGCAAGATATTTGAAAGCCAAAACCAGCTCTTTCGTTCCAGCACTTAGGGGACTGAGGCAGGAGGATTGCAAATTAGACATGGCTGCATGGTGAGATCCTGTCTCAAAAAAGAGAGGGGGCAGGGAGGGGAATAGATAAGAGATAAAGGGGAAAAAAATAAGACTACAGCTAGCCAGGGCCCAGGGCCAGAGACGCCTCCTAGTCTGTTAGGAAATAGTTTGCCACCTGTAGTACAGCTATGACATTCCTCAACTGTGTACTCTTTGCATAAACACACTCACCCGCCAGTTCTCAGACTTTGAGACTGACCAAGCTACTGAGCTTGAAACGGCCTCTGGGACCCATCCAGCTAAGCCTGCCACTGTTTTAATCCAACTGGAAGAAAACTCAGAACAGATGTCCCCCTTTAAAAAAAATAAAAAAATAAAACATAGCATGCTTTGCCTGTGCTTGTTTTCCTACTACAACAGAAAATTTTATTAATTACCAGAGATTTTTTTCCCTTTTCATAATATTTTTATGGATTATTTGGGAATTTCACATCATGAACCCTGAGCACAGTCACTTCCCAGACTTCCCAAGTCTGACCCCACCCTTGTGAGGCCCCCCCCAAAAGAAGAAATCAGACTCCCAGTGATCAGCCCTATAAGGAAAGCTGAGTCCTTCCCCACCTGCACCCACCCCAGAAGCCATCAGTTGTGGAGAGGTATACTTCAGCATCTTTATCACAGTTTTTAGGAGTTCTTTCTTTTTGATGGCTTTGTCTAAGCTGGGGGGAGGGGGGTGGTAGGGTTTGTCACAGCTTTTTATATCCCTCTTTCTCAAGTCTGCAGTCATTGATACCATAGCAAAGGTAGCTTCCTTGTCCTTTAAGATCATGGACTTGCACATAGTTTCTTGGTGACAGCACAAACCACAGGAATCCACATGGACCAGAGAACTTTTTACTATCTGGTAAAAGTTTGGGCCAGTGAGATGGCTCACTAGGTAAAAGCACTTGCTGCATAGATCTCACAAACCTGAGCTCCGTCCCTAGATCTCACAGTGGAAATAGAAAACCAACTCTCAAACGTTATCCTCTGTAAGGTATAGTGCTACAAGCCTTTAAATCCATCTCTCAGGAGGCTACAGCATACCCATCTCTGGGTTCAAGGGCAGCCTGGTCTACAGAGAGTTCCAGGTCAGCCATGGCTACACTGTGAGATACCATCTCACAAGAAAAATAATTTAATAAAAAAGAAAAAAAGTTTTCCTCTGACCTCCCCACATGCATGGTGACATTCACACAGGCGCACACACGTGCGCACGCGCGAGCGCGCGCGCGCGCGCGCATACACACACACACACACACACAGATGCACACATCAAATGCATACCATAAGTAAATTTTTTTCTCCAAAAAGAAAAGTTTGCTCACTCTCAGTTTATTTGCAGCCCTAGATGTGTGTTGGGAAATTTAAGTACTTGTCCCTTACAGCTGTCTTCCTCTCCACCCAGCTGTAGAACTCCTGTGCTCTCAAGGTTGATCAAGCAAGGTGGTTCTCATAACTTTCCAGTGTGCAATGCCCATGCCTTGACCCCAGGTGTGGGTGGTACATGACTTCCTCCTATACTTCGCCCATTCCCTGGCTTGGGTATATAAACCCATTCCTCTCTGTAATAAACAGTGACAGTGGCAGCAGCTTCTTCTTAACTTCTCGTGGTGGTGTTAAGTGTTTCAATCCCAACACCCCTCTGCCAAGCTCAGTATTCTGGCTGCAAGGGCACAGCAGATGTGATGTGTGTAAGGTATGATTGTGTGATTGTGTTTGTATGTGTGTGCACATATGCATGCATGTAAAGACCAGAGGTAAATGTCTTCCTAAGTTATTCTACACCTTTCTTCATTTATTTTTTTTTCTTTTTTGCTGTTTTGCTTTGTTTTTTGTTTTCTTTGTTTGTTTTGTTTTTTGAGACAGGCCTCCCTATGTAGCTCTGGCTGCCCTGAAACTTACTGTGTAGACCAGGCTGATCTCAAACTCAGATATTCTCCTAACTCTGCTTCCCGAGTTCTGGGGTTAAAAATGTGTGCCACCATGCCCCGTTGAATAGAAGCCAAATACTATGCAACTTTATAAGTACTTAAGTATCAGTGGATTCTGATGTCCTCAAGGGACACCTGAAACCGATTCCCTGTGGGTCCAGCAAAGATAACTGCATATGATTTTTGTAAAACCTCTAATGTACCAGGTTTTAGACTGTGGCTCTTGTCCTGCTGTACTTTAGAATTACCCTGGGAGTTTTACGAGGCACCAGTAGCAGGTTCACTCCATCTTACCAGATTCTAAATGACCATACAGCTTCCACCTGGAAAAGGCTAGTGGTTGAGGTGTGACAGTTCCTCTATCCATTTCCTTTGACAGGAGAAAGTCCTTCCTTTTTCCACTTTCAAGCTATTTTTACAGTGCTTGGCCCAGGGCATACAGTCTTCCAGGGGCACTAAACAGTGAGACAATTTGAAAGAGTACTGAGAACAGGAACACACCTCCTCAGATGGCTAAACAATAACCATTATTTTTGCCATCCATCTCAGAGGAATCCAAAAGGATGAGCAACCTTACTGTCACAACACTCTGTCCTCATGGACTTTTATGTTTCTCAGTGTTTCCTGTCAGAACGAATGAAATCATCCATGGAATTGAAGCTGAACCTTGTCTTAGTAGTTTGTCTCAGTTTTGCCCCCAGGAGATATTAGAAATGTCTGGAGGCAGCTTTGACTATCTTGTTGTTTGTCACACTAGCAACTAGTGGGTAGAAGGCAAGAGATTCTGTAAAATACCCTAAAAGGCACAGGACAGTTCCTTCCCACAAGAAATCACTCCACCTAAAATGTCAATAGTGCCTAGGTTAAGACAGGGTAGGCAAAACAGTCCCACACCTAATCTACACAGTGCCCTTGGTAGACTACTTCTATGTAGAAGTTACATAGCAGATTAAAAAAAATTTTTTTAGACTCAAAGACTTTTGCCAAAATGGACTTGAGACATTACAAGGTGAAAACTGAAGCCTGAGAGCCAAGCCTGAAGGATTCCTTCAGCTTAGGAGTGTGAGACTAGCCTGGGATGAATAGCAAAACTGTCTTCAACTGTCTCTGATGGCACCAGCCTATAATTCCACCTACTCAGGAGGGTGGGGCAAAAGGATCAAAATTTCAGGCTTGCTGGAGCTAAGAACAAAATGCCAGCCTGGGCAATCTGGTGGATCTTGACTCACAATTTTAAACAAACAAAAGAATTTTTTAAGAGCTGGGGATATAACACTGACTTAGAACTCTTACCCAGCATGAGTGAGGCCCTAGGTTCAGTCACCATAGGTAAACCAAACAGCAGCAAAAACACCTGGCTCAGAAAAGGGTTGAAGAGGATTGGCTCAAGAAGACACCTGGTGGAATCACTGGTTGATTCAATCTTCCCTCTGGGGGGTGGGGATATTCTTGCCAAAAAACTGAGAGAGAGGAAACTGACTTGAGATAATCAAATGTAGAGATTGGGCTGAGGAGGAGTCAGGTGATAGTGGTTAAACATGTTCTTCTTAAAGCACACAGGCTCAGAGAAATGACATCTGAGTGATGAGAGCTGAGCTATCATTGGCATCTTGGGGAAAAAAGGAAGATAAACGAGTGAGTCTTTGTTGTCTAAGAGAGGCAACTGTCTG